GGTGGGATCCAGGTGTCAGGTGGGATCCAGGTGTCAGGTGGGATCCAGGTGTCAGGAGCCCTGGCCTGGTCAGATGGCGTACCATTTCTGAGTAGGGATCTGCTGGGCTCTGTCGCAGAACCGTGGGAAGGGGGGCGCTGTGAGCAAGCTCATGGAGAGCATGGCAGCTGAGGAGGACTTTGAGCCCAACCAGGACTCGAGCTTCTCAGAGGATGAGCACCTCCCACGTGGTGGGACCCTGGAGCGGCCACTGACACCAGGTAGGTGCCCACGCTGCGGGGGCTGCTCGGGCCTGGAGTGTGGGAGGCAGGAAGCCCCCCTGGGCCAGTTAAAGCTGAGCTGAAGCTGTAGACCCGTGAGGCGCAGAGCTGACCAGGGCCTGGAGTGACACTGGAAACAGCATGTGCACAAGCCCTGGGGTGAGCAGGAATGTAGACCTGAGGGGGGTGGAGAAGCCCAGTGTGGTTCTGGCTTAGAGGATGAAGAATGTCCTGGGCTCTGGATGGGAGGCAGGAACCGGAGTCCTGTCGGTCTTGTCAAGGTTGATACTTGTCTGAAGAGGAAAGAAGCTATCTTATCAAATGTTGTATGAGGGGAGTGATGAGGTTGAATTTGGTTTGGAAATGATCCCTCTGACTGCTGCACAACATACATGGTGAGGGCTCTGTGGAGAGACGGGGGCCCACTGGGGAGATTGGAGTGACCTCAGCTACTGTGTGTGGAGCAGAGATGGAGACAAAGGGCTCCTGGGTGGTCCAGGGCTGCTGTAACATTAACACCACAAGCAGGTGGCTTTGAAGAACAGAACTTTATTTTCTTGTAGTTCTGGAGGCTAAAAGTCCAAATCAGTCTCAGTTATCTCAATTCCTTCCCTGTCCATTCCATCCTTGTCAGGTCCCTACTTAGGGATTCTGTCCTTGTTGTAATAGAATCCTGGGCATTCCTCGTTCTGTGGACCTTGGAGATTCCTCACATGATGTCTGTCTTCACTCTGTATCTCTGGGTCTATTCTGCTCTTCTAACTCAGAAGTGGTTAGGCTGAGGACACTGGCATCAGACTTCATCTCATGGTTGATTACATGCTACATTAGATTATAGAAAGTGATTACATCGCATCATATTAGCTGTATGAACTTTCCATTGCGGTAGATTGCATCACAGCAAGTGGCTCACTCTGCCAAGGTCATCTGATCTCATCTCATGAGTAGATCATAACAGCATATGCCCATCATGTCAGTATGTAACAGGGGATGAGTTTGAACGAATTAGAATGGAGGTTGGGACCTGGTGGTGGGTTGTGTGGACAGATAAGAGCAGAGACACGGTGACAGCTGATGATGGCAGGCTTTCCGCCTGGGTGGGTGTCAGGACGCTGCTATGAGGCTGGGTCACAGGAAAGAAAGGGGAAGGGGGATTGTGCCCTAGGTTCTGATGCTGTAGTGGGGGGTCTTGGAAAATGCCCTGTGAAGTGTTTTCTGCCCTGGACATGCTCTCAAACTGGGGTTTCTAAAGCACAGAGGAGAGATGACGGGGTGACCTGCTAAATGTCAGACAGAGTGGTTACTGTTGGTCAGAGTGGACAGGTGGTGGTTGGGTACCTTCAAGCCGCCTCCAACTCACGGTGCCGCCTCCAACTCACGGTGACCCAGGCGCAGTGGAACAGACCCTGTCCAGCCCAGTCCAGCCTCTCAGTCAAGTCCATGTCCAAGCCCATTGTCCTGGTCCCGCTTCAGCCTCTCAGTCACGTCCATGTCCAAGCCCATTGTCCTGATCCTGCTTCAGCCTCTCAGTCACGGCTACTCTTGAGCCCGTTGTTGCTGCCGCTGTGCCGGTCCTCGCCATCGAGAGACCTCCCTTTTCACTGACCTCCTGCTTGAAGCATGATATTCAGAGCAGGCATTTATTTACTAGTTAAGCTGAACTATTGCTTGATTTTACTATTTCAAGAGGTATTTTTTGCTGTAAGGTTTAAAGATCACCCCAAGGCAGTAGCTCTGTGGGCTCCTCCAGCCTCAACGGCTCTAGAAAGTCTGAATTTAAGCATTTTTAAATTCTGTTCTGTACTTTCTCCCCTTTTGATCAAGATTCACCTGAAGAATTATTGATCAAAATGTTTAGTCATAATAGCAGGGCACCAGCCCATTCTTCTGGTCTCATGGCAAAGGAGGGAGGTAGTTTAGTTGATTGTGGTTTTTTTTCTCTCTTGGTAAAATAGGAGAAATTAAGATTAGTTTCTATCCTATTCCAGTATCATTTCATGTTCTCGAAGACCCCGCTTCCGTATCAAAGACCCTGCTACCATCTGAGTCTGTCCACGTTTGTAGGTTGCGGAGGTTAGGACTTCCACATAAAGGGAGGGGACGTGATGCATCCCATAGCAGAGGACATGGTCTGTGGTCCATAGAGGAGGTGCTTTAGCAACAAGAGTGTGGTCCATGGTGTTGGTAGCTAGCCAGAGGAGCAAGGACTGCCCAGTGTCCTTCGTGCCCACGCTGGTCTTGGTGAGAGCAGCTTCGTGGGCGTGAGGAGCTGACGTGGGCGGAGGCTGAGGGAACAGGATGCTACAGCAGCACATCCTGGCGGCACGCGGAAGTCTAGGGGGTGGGGAAGGCCGTCAGGTCGAGCAAGGCGCAGGTGAGGCAGCTGTGGCCGTGGCCAGCAGAGCTCGGGCTAGCTGAGCCTGAACTTTGACCCTGAGTGGAGGCCAGTTGAGGACCCTGAGCTGTGAGTGGGCACGGGGGTGTGGATCTTTGATGCTAGAGGTCTCTCCCGCCTGGGATCTTGTGGCCCTTTGGGTCAGGGATGGGGACTCGCAGGGAGGCGAGGGTCCCGTGTTCCTGCTGGCACACGTACCCTTGCGCCTTTGTTGAGGGGTGCACAGGGGAGCAGGCAGCCTTGGAGGAGGCGGCGTGGAGGGGGATGTCTCTCAGGCCCTTCCTGTCCCCTCTCGCAGCCCCTCGCTCCTGTGTCATCGACAAGGATGAACTCAAGGATGGGCTGCGTGTGCTCATTCCCATGGACGACAAGCTGCTGTACGCTGGACACGTGCAGACCGTGCACTCGCCAGACATGTGAGTGGACCCAGGACAGGGGCACCGGGCAGTGGGAGTGCTGAATGCACTTGAACTGGGGGCGTCTGGCAGTGGGAGGACTGTGACCACTAGGTCTGGGGGCATCGGGCAGTGGGGAGACTCTCCCACTTGGGCTTGGGGCACCAGGCAGTGGAGGGACTATCCTCACTTGGACTGGGGGCATTGGGCAGTGGAGGAACTGTGCCCACTAGTTCTGGGGGCAGTAGGGAGACTGTCCCCACTTGGGCTGGGGGCACCGGGCAGTGGAGGACTGTCCCCACTTGGGTTGGGGGCACCAGGCAGTTGAGGGGACTGTCCGCACTTGGACTGGGGGCACTGGGAAGTTGGGGGACTGCTCCCACTTGAATGGAGGTGTTGGGCAGTGGGGAGACTATCCCCATTTGGACTGGGGGCATCGGACAGATGGGGGGACTGTCGCCACTAGGTCTGGGGATGCCAAGCAGTGCGGGGACTGTCCCCACTTGGATGGGGTATTGAGCAGTTGGGGGGACCATCCCCACTAGGTCTGGGGCACCAGGCAGTGTGGAGACTGTCCCCACTTGGACCAGTGCGAGGCTAGGCTTCCTTCCGTCCTCTTGTGTGTGGGCCTGGGAGACAGGAAGGGGAAGCACCTGGGGCTCTCTTAGGGGTGGACTGGTCAGTGGGTCCTAGGGAGAGGGGAGAGAGAACGAACGTTGGGGTCGGGGTCAGGCAGAGCCGGCAAGCTCTGTCGTCATCTCACCAGTTACTGTCCGGTTGATTCCAGTTCACGGTGACCATGTGTGCCAGCGGACAGCTGTGTCCTGAGATTGTCAGGGGCAGATATTTTTTGAAATAGCCCAGCCCTTCTTTGAGATGCCCCTGGGTGGACTTGAACCTCTAACCTTTTGGTTTGGCCTTGAGTGCATTTGACTGTTTGCACCATCCGTAGTCACCGCAGTCCAGTTGCCATGGTGACCTCACACACACCAAAGTAGAGCTAGTTCCAGAGGGGCTCCAGAGACTGATTTGAGGGCATAGCGTGTCAGGCCCTTGTTCCAAGAGCCTCTGGGTAGATCCTAACCTTCATTCCTCAGTTAGCAGCCACGTGTGTGAATGAATCATCATCTAGGGACTCCCACAGTTATGCTGTCAAGGACAAGGAGGCCCAGAGAGGAGGGAATCCTGGTCCCCACTTTCTGCAGCAAATCAGCCAGTCTTCCAGTGCCCGTTTCTGGGCTCTGAGTTGTATAGGGCGAGCTGGTGGTGGGCCCAGAGGCCTCAGGTCTGGGGGGAGTCCTCACTGTGGGGCCTCGGGCTTCTGCCACTGTGCCCACCTTGGACCTGCCTTTCAGATACCGCGTGGTGGTGGAGGGGGAGCGCGGGAACCGGCCCCACATCTACTGTCTGGAGCAGCTGCTGCAGGAGGCGGTGAGGGCCGGGCCTGGGAGGGCGGGCGGCTCGGGGTGCTGCCCCAGCGACCGCCTGGCACGCACACACATTCTCCCCTCAGATCATTGACGTGAGGCCGGCCTCCACGCGCTTCCTGCCCCAGGGGACCAGGATCGCCGCCTACTGGAGCCAGCAGTACCGCTGCCTCTATCCTGGCACCGTGGTCAGAGGTGAGCGGGCCTTCCGGGGGGCTCCCTGGAACCTCATGGGGCCCCAGCTCTACGTGAGTTGCCCTAGCCTGTGGGTGTGGCTGTACCAGTAACACAGGCGGTTTGTGGGAAGCGGCTGACCCACTCTTAGTGCCTGCGGCCACCTGGAGTGTGTCTGCAGACCTGGCCGACTCTGTGGACCTGGGCTTTTCCTTCCAGAGACCCTGTGGGACACATACATCCCACTGTGGTTGTGTACCGTAGAGTTGAACTGACCCGTAACCCCCGCTCAGTGGGGTCTCAGAGGCAGCTAATGGCATGGAAGGAGATTGCCCATTTCCATCCCGCAGAGCAGCCAGTGGATTCAAACTACAGTCTTGGGGGCTGGCAGTGAAACTCCTTACCGTGAAGCCACCAGAGCGCCCCTACACCCTGCTGCGTGTCTAAACATTTGTATAACCTCAAAGATACATCCCCCCCTCACATTCAAAATGCCACTCGTGACTGAAAGTACATTGATTGCTGTTAAGTGCGGTGGAGTTGAGTATGACTGATAGCGACCCTATGAACTATAGATCTGAACCTTGTCCTACCGTGTGCCGTCCTCACACTTCCTGGCACATAGGATCCCACTGCGGCAGTCACCGTGTCATTCCACCTGGTCGAGGGTCTTCCTCTCCTTCCCTGACCCTCCACCCTTCCCAGCATCATGTCCTTCTCCAAGGAAAGACCCCTCCTAGCAACATGCCCAAAGTATGTGAGGCAAAGCCTCATAATTCTTGCCTACAAAGAGCACTCTGGCTGAAACGACAGTTTCCACAAAAAAATTCAAAGCAGAAAATAATCTGGTCTTGAAGAAGGGAGAGATGCGTGGAAATTCTCCAAGTTCAGGAGGCTGCGAGTCTGTATGGAGGACCTGGCCGCAGGGAGTGCGTGCCCTCCCCATCTCCCTTGGCCTCCGTACCTTGGTCCTCTGGTCCCAAGGAGGCTCCACAGGACACCTCTCTTCCCCCTTTGGTGCCTACTTGGCTCTGCCTGACATCTGTCCTTTTTAGGACTCAGAAGTCACAAGGTTGCACAGTTGAACTGAAGGTACGCAGTTCAAATCCACCAGGTGCTCTTCTGGAGAAGGAGGGGCAACCTCCTCCTGTGCAGGTCGGAACTGACTGAGCAACGACAACACAGGCAGTCACTGGGTTAAAGAACTCTGCACTGACCCAGCCTCATTAAACACAGCAGACGTTAAACACGTTGCCATCAAGTTGACGGGAGTTACTTTAGCCCCCAGTGCTGTCTCTGCTTCACCTCGTATTTCCAATTTTTTTTTTTTTTTGGTGAGAAAAATTTGTATTTAGATTTAGCCAGCTGGACTCAGGTTAGATGATCCCAATTTTGTTGGCAACATCCAAAGCATCACAGTCAGGAGCAAGTTGAACACAGGCCTTTTTCTCTCCATCAGGCCTAATCAAGGTGTTGACTTTGGCCACATCAAGGTCATAGAGCGTCTTCACAGCTTGTTTGATCTGGTTCTTGTGGCCTTGACATCCACAATGAACACACGTGTGTTATCTTCTGTCTGCTTCATGGCTGACTCAGTGGTCAGGGGCAACTTGATGATGGCACAGTGGTCAAGCTTGTTTCTCCTGGGGGCGCTCTTCCGGGTTATTTGGGCTGCCGTCAGAGTCTCAACACCTTGGGCCGCCGGAAGGTGGGTGACCTGCGGATCTTTTTTTTTTGGCTGTGGACGCCCTTCAGGATGCCTTCTTGGCCCTTAATGCCTTTGCTTTGGCTTCAGTTTTGGGAGGGACAGGCGCTTCCTTCTTCGTTTTTGGTGCCATCTTCGTAGAAAGCGTAATTTCTTAGTTCTTGGTTGTTGTTTTCCATTAGGGACTGTTCTCGGATCTCTTGTCACTCTTGTGAACAAACTTTCAAGACAGGAGCAAAGGGATTAGAAGCTGTTGAGGGCGGCCCCTGACCATGAGCAGGCGGGGAAAGCCAGCCTTGCTGGGTCTTCCTTTTCCTCATCTGTTGTCACTGTGGTGATGCCGGTGTCACAGGTTGGACCTGCCGCGTAGGGCTTGCTGGCTGGGCTCCTGTGCAGAGGCGGATCGCGAGGCCTTTATTCCACACCTCTCCGATCAGCAGCCAAGTGCAAATCATTTGTGCCACCTGGGGACCTTCTTCACGAACCAGAACCCCCAAACCTGTTAGCATCAGCATTTGGGAGAGAGGTCGGAGTCACCGTTCAGGGTGGACAGCTCTCTGCTGTCCCTGCTTTGGGTGTGATGCCCACTCACTATCCTCTCACTGTCCTCCTGTCCTTATCTGTACCATCAGACTTCCTCAGAACTGCCTTGCTCCCAGACTGTGCCTTTACCTATATTACCACCCTCACGTTCCACTTACCTGTGCCATCGTCTTCACCTGCATTCTCACCTGTGCCTTTACCATACCTCCATCCTCACCTGTAACTCTTCATCTTCACCTTTACCTTCACTCTGTATTCACCTGTCCTACCATCTTTATCTGTCCTTCCCTTAATTTGAACTTTTACTTATACCACTGTTCTTACCTGGACACTCATCTACACCACTATCTTCACATATAACTTGACCTTATCCTCACCTGTGCACTCACCTGTATCACCATCCTCATCTGCAGTCACCTGTACCACCATCCTCACCTGTACCACCATTCTCACCTGTATCACCATCCTCATCTGCACTCACCTGTATCACCATCCTCACCTGTGCACTCACCTGTACCACCGTCCTTACCTGTACCACCAGCCTCACCTGTGCACCCACCTGTACCACCATCCTCACCTGTGCCCTCACCTGCACCACCATGTACTCATCTTTGGTCCAGAGCTGCTTTCCATCAGAAACCTGCAACTCTGTCAGCCTGGTCGTGTTGTCCCTGCACCTGACCTGCAGGGGACAGGCTGCCTTCTGGTTGGCCTCTTCCCTCCAGACACCACACCGTGGTGGACACTGAGACCAGGCATTTGTCCACTTGATGCTGGCTTCGAGGTGCCGCCTCCCCTACTCCAGGCTCCTGGCTGGTCTCTCTTTGGGGTTTGAGCTCTTTGGACAGCTGTGCTTTTCTCTGAGGATCTTGGGGGGGTTCAGTGATGAGGCCAGAAGTTTGTGCTGACCAGGCTTCCCCGACTAGAAGCGAGGGAGCCGGTACCCCTCCCTGGGCTGTGCGGCCTGGAAGTGCACTTGATGTCCCACTGCCTGCCTGCCAGGGGCGCGTGAGGCCGGGCGTCCGAGACGGAGGCTGCCTGAGCAGCGTCACGCCCAGCCTCATCACGGCGAGCCTGCGTGTCCGGCAGCCCTCCTGTTCCCTGGCTGTGATCCTTCGTGGAATGAGACTGTCCGCCCTTTCTTGGGTGGTCACTGTGCCAGTCCATCTTGCTTAGCGTCTTCCCCGCCTTCCCTGACCCCCAGCTTTACCAGGCGTGATGCCCTCCTCCCGGACGGGCCCCTCGTGTCGTGTGCTGACGTCTCTGCCCCTTCTAAGGACCACTCTGGCTGCACTTCTGAGACACATTTGTTGAGGTTGCCTGGGGCCCACTGCCCTCACGTCCCTCACCCCGTCCTCCCTCCCCTGCCAGGCTTACTGGGCCTTGAGGACGATGGAGACCTCATCACCGTGGAGTTTGATGACGGTGACACGGGACGCATCCCCCTGTCCCACATCCGCCTGCTGCCTCCTGACTATAAGATCCAGTGTGAGTGCTGAGTCTCCTTCCTCTGGGGTCCCCTGCCCTGGTTGGGGGGCGCACAGACCCCCACTGCCCCTCTCCAGAGTGCCTGTCCTGGGCCCCGTGGGTGATAGAAATGGCGGAAACCTTGGGTGGGGCTCCCGGAATGGGCTGTGGGGAGCCCCCAGGGCTTCTTGTGTTGTCACGTGTATGAAGCCCCAGTTGCTCATTCTGGGCCTGTGACCACAGGGACAGCCGGGCGGACAGCTGACCACCACTGCTGGCCCCAGGCCACGTGTCCGCAGGTCACTGAGCCCTCCCTCTGTCCCGTTTCCATCCCCTTTGACTGACAGTGGGTTTAGGGGGAGATAGGACTTACCCTGAGCCCCACATGTGTAAGGGGTCATGTTGTGCCGAGGTCCGACTCTGGACCTGCAGCAGCCACGGTTCTGAGCATTTTCTGGTGGGACCGTGGGAGCTGTGTGGGGTCTCTGCCCCTCCCCCTGCAGGAGTGAGGAGAGTTCTGACTCTTGAGTTGTGGCCGTGGACGGGGCTGTGCCACCTCCCCCAGCCCTGCAAAGTCTGTCCCCTCCCCTGTGACACGTGGGTGGGGAGCCTGCCTGGGGTCCCTCCTGAGCCTGTCCGCTCTATCTCCAGGTGCTGAGCCGTCCCCTGCCCTCCTGGTGCCCAGTGCCAAGCGTCGCATCCGGAAGACCAGCAAAGACACCAGTGAGGGCAAAGATGGGCCCACGGCAGGTGCAGACGAGCCCGGAGCCAAGGCCAAGGGCCGCGGCCGGAAGCCCAGCACCAAGGCCAAGGGCGGTGCGTACACGGGTGCAGGCGGGCCTGGCCGGGGCTCTGCAGGGCTGCCACGGCCATCTGTCAGGGTCAGGGCGGGCTACCCGGGAAGCGTGGGCTCACCGGTCTGGGGGGATGAGGTGGAGATGTACCTCAATCTATGGGGTCCAGACGTCCCTCAGAAAACGCAGCCAGCCAAGAAAGGCTCTGTCCACCTGCCCTCCAATCCTGGGCGGGTCTACAGTCTGATAGTCAGACTGGTTCAAGGAGCCAGGAGATCTGCTCCAAGTTCAAGGCAGTGCAGAATGAGGCAGGGTCTGGAGGGAGTGGCTTCCCAAAACTCACTTGGAGGATCAGTTAATCCAGCCTCCATGGTTCCAGAAAGTCTGGATTTCACCACAAATGAGTGAGCAGAGGTCAGTCCTGCTCACCTGCGATTGGGCCTTGGGCTCCGCCTGGGCCGTCGGCTCGAGAAGTGGGCCGTTCCTTAAGAAGGGCCTGTGGGGTTGGGAGAGAGCTGGCAGCTGCCCCTGTAAGGGGGGTTGGTGGTATGCGCCGTAATGTGAGAGGTGTGAAGTGTGGATCTAGTCACTAATGATGTGTGAGCAGAGGCCAGCCCTGCTCAGCTGTGACTGTCAGCGTCCCTCTCTGGAGTAGTGTGCAGATTGGGAAACTGAGGCTGGAGGAGGGGAAGGGGCCTGAGGAGGGTCGCCCCAGGTGAGAGGAGATTCCAGCCTCACCTGGGCGTGCTTGGGCACGGGGCTGGGGCTGACAGCCAAGCCCAGCAGAGGCCCCCACCTGGGGCCTGCCCTCTGGCCCACCTAGACTCAGCCAAGCTGCCCTGACAGGTAGGACCCCGCCCATGCCGTGGTGCTAACGGCCACTCATGCTGTTTCCCTCTCTCTTCTAGACAAAGCTGCTGTCCTGGAGGAGGGGGGCCCCACCGATGAGGTGCCCAGCACCCCCTTGACCCTGGAGCCCATCAGTAGCCCAGCTTCCAAGAAGAGCTCCCCCGAGCCCACCGAGAAGCGGCCAAAAGCCCCCAAGGCCCGCCTGTCACCCCCCCAGCCCAGCCCTGGAACCCCTAGCTTTGCCGGCTGCCCAGCTCCTGAACCCTTCGGGGAGGTGCCTGTGTCCCCCACCTCTGTGACCCCGGCACCCCTTGCAACCATGCCCCTCACCATGCCCGCCACCCGCCCCAAACCCAAGAAGATGCGGGCAGCCGAGGAACCGGGTGCCAAGGGCCCAAGGAGGCCGGGCGAGGAGGCCGAGCTGCTGGTCAAACTGGACCACGAGGGCGTGACGTCCCCTAAGAGCAAGAAGGCCAAGGAGGCGCTGCTGCTGCGTGAGGACACGGCCATGGCGGGCTGGCAGGACCCCAAGGGCCTCCCGGGCCTGGGCAGCTTCCCCTCAGCCGTGAGCATCAGTGAGCCCAAGCCCGGACGGCCCAAGGCCCTAGACGGCGAGCTGCCGCCGGAGGACTCGGGGGGCCCCGAGAGCCCCGACAAGGGCCAGGCCGAGCAGGACGGGGCGGACGAGTCCGAGAGCAGCAGCAGTGGGGACAGCAGTGGGAGCAGCAGCTCCGAGACGGAGGGCGAGGAGGACGCGGGCAAGGCCGGCGAGGAGGGCCGGGCGGGCGGGGGCCGGGCCTGCAGCGCCTCCAGCTCC